CGACGACATCAGTGACATGGTGGTTGGTAGGGTGTGGGCGGTGCGATGGGTGAGGTGGTCCAAACAAAGACGGTTGTTTCATTTCTTTTGAAAGATTCCATTACAATTCCTACCAATCAAAAGCATGGTCAAATTCCATTCCGATCTCTTTAAAGTCAAATTCTTTTGATGGAATTCCAATTCCACCTAATTCCATTATTTCAACCAAGCGGCCCCTTAGTAGCAGCAGTTTCCAATTATTTATCTTTGTTATTACAAATATTTATCCTGGTATCATCTTTTCAAAAGTTAAGCTTATGCAACATATTCTACATGAAACGACACAAATTGCCTTCTTCCTCAATAAATGACGATGAGAACATTGTAATAATCTATTCTTCTTCGATAGCGAATTGTAAAGAAAAGCTCTTAATTTGGGGCCAATGTATATGCAAAAAAAAGAAGAAAGATGAACAAAATAGACAGTGATTAGAAACCAAAGAAAGAAACAAACCCATAACTCCGCTGGCAACGCTTTTAACAGCACAATTATTCCAAATATCTTGACCCCTTACTTCTTCGATTGTAGGCAGCCGAATTGGTTCTATTGTAGTCTTCTCTGCTTCATTTGCAGCGGGACTATTGGATGAATCTTCGCTCATGGTCTAACAGAAAGAGTTTGTTAGTCGTGCGAGTGCTTGCTTATCTTCTTTATGGCGTGCAGCTAACGGCTGAAGAGGAGAGTGACAGGGGGGGGGATCAAATTTACTCAGAGGAGGCGGAGAGGGGTTTTGGAGGGAGGGTTTCTTTTCCCTTCCTTCCCTTTTTCATTTTTCTCTCTTTTTCTTTTCATTGAAACTGAAATAAAAACAAAAGGGAAACTTTTAATTATATTTCAATTTCTTTCAAAATTGAATTACATAATTTGTTATCTTTTATTGTTTTAATAATACTAGAAAGGTATTCGTACAATGCAGTGAGATACATCTCTATTTTAATGTTTCGTTTTATGTTTTGTCTCTTTTGATATAATACGGTTTATGTGATTTTGAGAAAGATAACATTTACACTTTTGAATAAAAATAAATTTGAAAATATCATAAAATTTGAAAAAATATATCAATATTAATATCAAATTAACTATTTAAAAATTCTCGTTTTTTTACAATTTCTTTAATTTAATTTTTATTATAATTTAATTTATGTCTAGTAGCAAAGTAATATATTTTTGGCTTATCAATATAATTTTTATGAAGATAATGATTTTGTTAGAACTTAATGATTATCCTAATTATATTTTAGATTTTTAATATTTAAAATGAGATGTTTATCTACAGTTAGTTATACGAATTCAAAAATTGAGCTTTAATAAGTTGTATTTATGCACAATTTACTTATAATCTTAAAATTTAAGTAATATGCATTAATACATAGTACTTCATGCATAAAGAATGGTTTTTAAGAGTTTTTTTTCAAATTTTTATAATACAGTATAGATAGTAGACTACAAGACCCCAACATTTTAAATTCCTTTGCGTGGATTGTCCCTTCGAAGATAAAACTGTATGTGTCAACTAATGAAGAGGAGAGTAGGGACGGAGGAGGGGGGTAGGGACGACGAGGAGAGCATGGACGAAGAGGAGATGCGGTATGCAGTGTTTTTTTTTTCAAGGGAAGCGAGCCGGCTGAAATTAGGGTAGGAATGAAATCCGACAGTATTTGGATTTCAAAATACTGTCCATTTCCAAAGGATTTCCAAATCCATTTAATTACTTGGATTTCAAATCTTGACAATCCCGTAAACTAGACACGGGATTGGAATGGATTTCAAATCCAAATCCCATCAATTTCATTCCATTTCTGCAAACCAAACGCACATTTAGACTTCCAAAACTATCATTATTTGTTCATACATTATTGGCTCTTTCTAATATAATTAAATGTATGAATCTTAAATACTCTCTTATCTCTAAAACAATAATAAGACCTCAATCTGTAACCAACATGGGATTTTGATTATAAGATTGATGATTCTAAAAACTTGTTGAAACTTGTCTTGTATGCTAGTACATCATCTATGGTATGTTGTTTGTGGTTATGCCCAATAGTCCAAGGTCAGTCAAAAGCTCAGGGCAGGTTAGCTATCCAAGCTTTCTTATGTTTCAGGATCTTTCACTGGACTAATCAGTAGGTGTAGGGTTTCAACAGAAACAATAAACAATAAAATACATAGATAGTAAAAGAAAAGTAACTATGAAACCCTTTAAGCCCATATCCGAAGCATGTGTAATAAGGACAAAATAAAACAACCATAAGGTGTTTCAATAAAACTACCTTAATCGACAAAGCCATAAATTGAAGCACGAGAGTGTTAGTGTATATGCCCAAAAGCCAGTTATTTGATGATTTTGTTTGAACATTGTGTCATGATATTTATTAATGAGGGTTGGGTTCATGTAAGACGAGACTATTTTCGTGAGACCCATGAGACCATTTTTTACACTTGAAACTTCATAAAAAAACATTGTGAATGTAAAAAAATCCGAACCTTCATAACAAAAATACTGTAGAGGTTACTTTCACAATGTTTTCTTCTGAAGTTTCAAGTGTAAAAAATGGTCTCATGAAAACATGTTGGTCTAACGTGATCACAAGTCTCATTAATGAAAGACATTGTTCTATTTGTAAATGTAAGTACTTTTTTGATATATTTGTTTCATTTTATAGATCTAAGTACTCTTTTGGTTAAGAAATGTTTAGGGACTTAATCGTTCAAAATATGAATGTCCATTGGGTTTTTTTCAAACTTTTTTCATTATTTTACCACGTTAACGAGTTGTATAGGTCATAAGAATGTATCTAACAGGTTTTAGAAAGTCCAATGAGTTATTTAACATGTTTTGGAATGTCCAATAACTTATTTGTTTTAAAAAATTGTCCAAAGACTTAATCATTCCAAACACTAAAGTCCATTAGGTTTTTCTAGACTTTTCCATTTTTTGTACACCCCTAATACTCAGGGGTAAATTAGTCATTTATGTTATTCAGACTGTTAATTCAGATAGAAAAGTAAACAACAACATAAATTTATGCAAACAGACAAATTTATCCATATAAGACTTAATGGAAAATTTGGTAAACAATCCCTAAATAATTAATGTATAAGTTATTGTCTTACGGTTTGTATGCTAACATTTAATGAGCTTAATAAGATTAATGAGACTTATGGATTATTCGGTCAACTATACATGATGGTTTGCTAGTGGTTTAATAATATTGAAAGTGGTTTATTCAGCAAGCTATAGAGGAGCTTACGCAGAAAACCAAGTTTTTTACAAACATCCCCCCAACCCCCCTAAAATTAAAAATTGAAAAAACAGCTTCATTTCATCTATGAAAAAGACCTTGTAAACAAAAACCTTCACATACTACATAAACAACTTTATTCATATAAGACTTAACAAAAACCAACCAACCAACCAAACCCTTGGTCAAACCCCAAATCCAATTGAAACAGTTATTTCAACAATCGTCGATGGAAATGGTCTCGTAGACTTGGTTTAGTTGTTGGTATTTATCAATTCACACATCTAGTGGATACGGTAGAAATTCCTCTCGTACTAGGGTTGGCTCCTCGCAGTTCTCCATTTAACACCAACGGTAGATAGGAACCGAACTGTCTCACGACGTTCTAAACCCAACTCACGTACCACTTGAATCGGCGAACAACCAACCCTTGGGACCTTCTTCAACCCCAGGATGTGATGAGTCGACATCGAGGTGCTAAACGACTCCTTCGATAAGAGCTCTTGGGAGTCATCAGCCTGTTATCCCCGGCGTACCTTTGATCCGTTGAGCGAGAGCCCTTCCACACGGGACTCCCGGATCACTCCCTCTTTGTTGTTGAATTTTAACAATCAATCCATTCCGATTAGAGTTGAACAAACAATTCGTCTTATCAAAATAATGATTGAATTGGACAACTTCTATCATCTAATATATTATCGTTATTTGTTGGATCAAATTCGATATTTAGTATATTTTTCATTACTTTTACGTATGAGAGTTATGGGGTCTAACAAATTTATAAGATTTTTAATATAATACATGGTGTGAAATTTTATATCTTATTTTGGTGTAAGTGTAACAGGGCGTTCCAATCAACATTTATATCTTATTTTGGTACAAGTGTAACGGGACTTCCACAAAGATTGGAAAGGCTCGTTCATGTTATTTAAAGGCTTAGCAATTTTGGCTAAAAATGTCGCATTTTTATTGATAGTCATAGGTTCTATAAACATTTGTTTCGATTGGAAGATATATTTGGTCATGTCTGTTTCTCGCTTTTTTTGTTGGGTCTTGGTGTTGGTCTTAAGTATAACTTTTCACAATATCCTAGTGGTAAATTTCGAATTCTTGATCTACTATTTTGTAGTATTTTGTTGTCCCAAGTGGGGAAAAACGTTAATACCCATTCCATTCACTTATTCTTTAAGTTGTTAGGCGATCAAAGGTTCTTAATTGATAAAAATTGCAATATTTCACTAGCATAGTTTAGGATAAATATTTAAGTACCTTTAAAATAATGACAAAAATGAAACCTCATGGAGCCAAACCATATCGTCAATATTTTTGTAATGATGACAATAAGTAAGTAAGTAGTTGTTTACTAACTGCTAATCGGACTGACTCAGTCAGCAATCAGTAATTGCTAGAAGCCAAAGAAATATTGCAATTTTTATGAGAGCATAGGAGTATATATAGTGACAAATTCAAACAAGAAGTTACAAGTTTCAATATCATATATAATTACATGCATGATAAAGTGGTGTATCTCGCTTTACGTTCTCAACTCTGCATCTTCTACCATTGACCATCACCATACCCATAAAACTAAACGTGGCACCTAAAATCTCTGTAGAGACATGCTTATCCACAATGATCGAGATGTCCGAGAGCCTACCATCTTCGAACATGATGTTGTCTAGTTGCTTCCACCCTTCAAAGCATTCAAAAGCATATTCGTTTCTCAATCACAATCTAAACAATTAAAGTCGTCCGTGGATTATAAAGAAGTGGTCGACGCCGATGTTATGAAGTTTAAACAGATTATTTCTCCATTGAGTCGACACGATGAAGAATCATTTTTCAATGTGCATCTTATCTTTCCTGACTACACATCCATCAATGACGTGGCTATATTTCCAAAATTTGGTTATAATATAATGTTTTATTTTTTTAGTTGTTTCCGTTCACTTGGTTATATTACATATAATTAGTTGTCAATTAATAAATTACGTTTCATTAATTTACATATTTTGTGACAAAAATAGTTTGGTCACTAATAAGTAGATATCCATATAAATTAGGAATGGCAATGGGCCGGGTATAGGTATCCCCGTCCTCGAAACCAATAGCTAAAATCATCCCCGTAACTGCCCTGATCCCCGTCAGGGATCTTATCGGGGATCCTCATCGGGTCCCCGCGGTTTTCCCGATCCCTGTTGGGGAACCCGTTAAGGGTAAAAATCTTTATTTTCACCATTGGTTATAACCGAACCCGAAACCTATCTGAAAATGAATTACAGTATGTTGATTTTCACAATTAAAAGCAAATTACAATTTTTTAAAGATGTAAGTTTAAATGTCTCAAACATAATTGAACAAATTGCAAACAATATATTAGATTACAATATATAACTAAACATGAATTCAAACATCATAAAATCACAATTTTAGACAAATAAACTAGACTTTTCCGTGAGCTTTATTTGGGTTGAGTATGTAAATTGGATAAAAGTCTTTTAAATTTTAATGTTACTATTTTCTTAATGATATTATATATATATTATATATATATATATATCGGGCCGGGCGGGCCGATTATCACCGTCCCCGCCCTCGTCCCCGTTAAAATCTCCGAATTTGTCCTCGATCTCTGCTTAGTTTCCGATAAGATGTCCTCGAATCTGGCCCAAAAATTTTGGTTTTCACCATCGATTTCGGGTTTTTTTGTCATCCCTAATATAAATCGAACGATGAACATAATTTATAACATAAATCACAAAAAAATAAATATTCTATACCATATTAAAGAATACAAATATCAGATAAAACAAAATATATATTTTTAATACTTTATTAATTAATAATTGAATATGTAAATTTGATGGGTTCAATTTTATTGAATCATAAATTGTTATCATGGATCGACTCAAACGTTGGAAAAGAGGATATCGATTAAATTTCCTAAAGATCCGAAAGAGGATCCATTTTCCATCAAAGCGTTCTTGCTCTTCTCACTCATTTCTTTGACTTTTCTCCGTAACTCACCATCACGACCGTCCATCAACTCCCTCACACCTCTCTCCACCTCCTCCGCCAACACCAGATCGCTGCTCTTATCTCTACTATCCAACCTTAACTCCACGCTCAATCCAATCTCCTTTACCATCTCAAATGCATTCAACTGTTGCTCTGCATATAAAGGCCACGTGGCAATCGGTACACCGTACCATAGACTCTCCAAAATTGAGTTCCATCCACAATGTGACACAAACCCACCAATTGCTTCATGTGCCAGCACACTCACCTGTGGGGCCCACCCGCAGACCAACCCCGTTTCAGCCGTCCGATCGATGAATCCATCGGGAAACAAATTTTCATCAAATTCCTTGTAATCATTTGGAAGCTCTAGCTTTGCTTTGGCCGGTTCACGAAGTGTCCACAAGAACCGGTAGCCGGTTCGCTCCAGACCAGTTGCAATTTCTCTCACCTGGGTGCGGCTTAAGCTCCCCATGCTACCAAGACATAGGAAAACAACGGATCCCGATGGCTGCCGGTCGAGCCATCCGATGATCTTTTCCTGCCCGGAACGGTTTGGGTGCCACTTAGCTGGTCCAAAATGATCAATTATCGGCCCAACCGGGTAAACCGGTGGCAAACCGAAGTATTTAGAGGAAGACAGAGAGTCGAGCGCGTAGGGTTCGAGCTCTTGAAACGTATTTACAACAATACCCTTGGTCTCTTTGTACCTAAGCGCGTGATGTATAAACGTTGAGTAACCTGATTCCTTTCTCTTGATGCAGAATGATGGAAGGACGTTAGGCGGAACTGGGTTGGCGTAACTCGGTACTGTTAACTCAGTCGCCAAGCTTATAGACTCGGTGGCCGGAAAGGTTGTGAGGTGGAGTACGAAGCCAAGATAAGCTGCAGGAGACGTGAAGAATAGGTAACTCGGAATGCCTAAATCATTGGCGACGTCAATCATCGAAGTGCAAAACATGTCGATGAATAATCCGACGAGTGGTACCGGGACGGAGTCAGGAACGGCGTCGACATCCATGAGGTTTTTTAGTGTTTGTTTGATATTGGGTTTATGGTTTTCTATGTGGAGAGAAATGAATTCGATGGTGGAGTGATATTGATCTGGCGGCGGTGGGTCAACAGTATGGATTTGGATGAATCGAATATGTTGGGTGGAGGTTCGTGATATGACGTAGTCGTCGATGAGTGGCCTTTGAGGCATGGAAATTACGAGTATTGCGACGGAGATACAACGGTGATGGTGGTTGATGAGGTGGGTTGCAAATTCCACGGCAGGAACAAGGTTGCCGATGGCGGGTGTTGCGATGATTGCTACCTTTGCTCGCTTCATCTTTTCGGGGTGCTCTCCGGTTAACGCTTGAAACTCAGTTTGCTTCAATTATAGGGATTCGAAAATAGAGAATTAATATTTTATAATATATATTAAATATTTTAATAATATAATTTATGTTGTAATCTTTAAAAATAAAAAAATTGCTAAAAATAAATATAATAAAACATTAAAAGGTAACGGTGGAGGTATATATAAAACGTTTAATATTCAACGGACCCGTATTTTTTTTGTATGTAGTGATTAAAAATTTAATATATTAAAACATTTGTTGTTATTATAATATTGAATATAGTTTTTCTTTTGTCTATGATTAAAGTTGATTTTTTTTAATATTGAATGGACCTGTATTTTTTATGTTTTTAATGTTATTTTTTAATAGTCAAATTAAAGATGTCACAAGAATAATAAAAAAACCATTTTAAGTTGTCAAAATTTGAAAATTTTCTTATTTTAGTAAAAACTTCAATAATTAGTTGAAGAGAAAAATTAGTCCAAAATTAAAGTTTTCTAGAACCTGTCACAGATTTTGCTATTTCTTTTGTGAGTTTTAGCATTAATTGTATTAATGTTTAAAGTAAATTGTATTTTTTATGTCTGTGGTTTATTATATAACTTGGATTTCGTCTTTTTGGTTTTAAAATTTTAGTTTTCATCTTTTGAATTTGTAATTTATTTTTATTTTTATTTTCATTCCCGGGATCAAGTGCTACTTTTAAGTGTGAGGAATGAAACGGAAATGAACTGTAAACCATAAGAATGAAAAAAGTGATAAAATTTAAATCATAAGAGTGAAAACAATAATAAATTATAATTCAAATGGGTGAAAATTGTAATTTCAAAAATATATGGACCGAAATAGAAAATTTCAATAAATCACAAGAATGAAAAATATAATTTACTCAAATATTTGATATGTTTATTATTTTAACAAAATTTTAAGTATGTAATCCGTAGAAATAATAAAATGATAGTTTTCTCACTCTATTAGCATTTAGTACATGTTTGGATAGATATAAACTGACTTATTGAGATCTTACTTGATAACTTTTGAAGAGTTCTTGTCATTTTTTTCTAATTATAATCCTTATTAATATTAATCATAAATAAATATAATAAACACAATTTATTAATAATTAAAAATAAAAATAAATTACTACTGATATTAATAAATATTAGTTGAAAATTATTAATTAATTTTAAATATACATCATAGATTAATATTAGTTATTAATTATTTAGTTATTAATTTTTTTTAATTGTTATTCAATATATTTAGTTATCAAAAAATAAATATAACAATTCTAATAATGTTTATTTAAGTTATAAAATTGGGTTAAATGATTTTAATAAAATATTTATGGCCATTTATTTTTATTCATATTATACGTAATGGTTATTTAAAATCATAAATTAATGTAGATTTTTTTCTTAAAAAAAATTACAAATCTAAAATTTACATATTATATCATTTTGATTTTTCAATGATATTTCAGTAATTAGTTTGTCAAATACAGCCTTAATTCAAAGATTTTTCACATTTATCTATAATATATTATAAAACATTCAACAAAAACTCTTAAAAACTATTTTTAATGTATGAAGTACTGTTTATTGATGTATATTATTTAAAATCAAGATTACAAGTAAATTATGCATAAGTACAACTTCTTAAAACTTTATGTTTAAATTCATGTAACTAACTGCAGATAAATATAATCAAATAGAGGGTAAACATCTCATTTTAAATATTAAAAATTTAAAATATAATTAGGATAATCATTGAGTTCTAACAATAAATTTAATTATTATCTTTATAAAAAACTAGAAGCGTACTCGCGTAATGCAGCAAGATACATCGTGATTTTAATATTTCATTTTATTCTTTATCTCAGTCGATGTTATAATATGGCTTTATGTGATTTTGAGAAAGCGATAATGTTTTTATTTTTGAATAAAATATTTGTTTGAAGATATCATAAAATTTTGGTAAAAATATATCGATATTAGTATCAAATTAACTATACAAATTTCTCATTTTTTTGTGTAATTTTATAATTTAATTTTTTTATAATTTAATTTATGTACAATAACAAAGTAATTTATATTTGGTTTAATAATTTAATTTTTTTTATAAAGATAATAATTATTTATTTTGTTGGAACTCGATAATTATACTAATTATATTTTAGATTTTTTATATTTTAAAATGAGATGTTCATCCTTTATTTGATTATGTTAAGCCGCAGTTATTTATACGAATTCAAACATCGAGCTTTAATAAGTTGTACTTATGCATAATTACTTGTAATCTTGAATTTTAAGTGATATACATCAATATACAGTAGTTTATGCATAACAAAAATATATCGATATTCGTATCAAATTAACTATTTAAAATTCCTCATTTTTTGTGTAATTTTTTAATTCAATTTTTTTATTATAATTTAATTTAGGTACAATAACGAAGTAATTTATATTTGGTTTAATAATATAATTTTCTTATAAAGATAATAATTAACTATTTT